TCTGACCCTGAAAAACGTAGGATAACGTATCTGCCTTGTTTCAAGGCACTAACTTCGTGGTAATTTGTTGTAACAGCCCTAGGAAACTAATACACTGAAGATACCTGATTTCCGCTCTCAAACGCCACCTCAGACAACGTGTGGATGGTCTTTTATAACATTCTCCAGAGGGTTCTGAGAAGTTGATTCTGTCTGTTGACAGTAGTAGCACACAAAGGACACAAAGTCTCTGAACATCAATCTTCTTCTGTTTTTTTTTTTTTTCAGAAAATGCATTTTCTAGGGTCTAGATTCTAGGCTGTGACCTCATGCAAAATGGAATGATTGGAAGCTTGTCATGACTTTGCCCAGCCTATCGCCAGAAGTCAGCTTGAAGGACTGCTCAGTCTCACAGAATCAATGAGAGTCACCGAGGATCCCTGGTCTCAGTGGATCTCAATGGCCACCAGACATTGGATTCCCAGCTTTTGTGAACTGGCTTCTCCTTTATAGAATCTGATGGAAGTGGACACACCTGAGTCTTGCTCTAGATTAATTCATAACAGACTATCTTCTGTCACTTAGGGAATGCCTGTTAACTCCTTTTACTCTTAGGCTCCCCAGTTACTATAAATCTTTCCTTCTATTGCACATGAAATGTTGGATGAGCTCTGAGGGTTCTAACTCGGGAGCTCACAGACAGACATTAGTCTCCCACAAACAGTTCTTAGTTTAAGTAACTTAGTGAAGGTCAAGCAGCTACGAAGTGGAAAAAATGGGATGTGAATCCAGGCAGTCTGACTACAGAGCCTGTGATCTTATCCACCGGTTATTCAGCATCAAACCATCAAAACACTACACAGAATTTTTTCCTTTATTAGAATACGACCATACAAAATGTTACCTGAAATGAGGAGTCTAGTCTAACCAGGACATTTTTACTTGTTTTCTTTTAATAGGGATTTTCAGTGTAATTTTAATGGAGATATATTTTCTTTCTTTCTTTTCTATCAATATGGCAGTAAAACATATTGTTACATTGAACATCACATTAACATACAACACACTATCTTTTATCAATATAATATTTAATCATGAAAATTCCAGTTTTGACCTCCTGGATAACTTGGCATGTTCTTATAGCTCAATATGCCTATTTTTAAAAATGGAAATAGAATTCTAAGGCATATTCCTTTTAGTAAAATTTATTTTAAAAAAATATCATCCAGCAAAACTGACCTGTTTTGGATGCACAGTTCTGAGAACTTTAACACAGGAACACAATCAGGGTACAAAAGAGTTTCATCACCCCCAAAATTCCTTCATGCTATCCCTTTATAGTCAGTGTCTCCCCTCACCCATTCTCTTGATAATCACTGATTTGTCTCCCATCTTTAGCTTGTCTTTTCATATATGTCTGTTACTGGGCTGAACTTTGGGTCCATGTGCCTGACACACAGCAAAGCTAATTTACTGACACCGGGTGGTGGTGAGGAATGTACAGTCTTTATTGCAGGTGCCAAGCAAGGAGAACAGGCAGCTCATTCTCAAAAGATCCCAATTCCCCAGTGGTTTGCAGGGAAGCGTTTTTAAAGGCAGTATTTAGGGGTAAGGACTGCAGCGTACATGACTTTCTTCTGATGGGTTGGTGGTGAGGTGACAGGGTGGTGTTTCAAGAATCTCAGTCATCAATCTTTTGGTCCCAACTAGTCTGGGGTCTACGTGCTTGTGATGAGCAGGAAGTCCTCATACTCCACCTGGGTCGGGGGGTGGGTCTTAGTTCCTGCAGAATAACTCATGGATGTCCATCAAACTGTTACGTACATCCCTTCAGGAGGAACTAGGACTCTGTTTTATCACCAAATTATTGTGATTCCTTTTCTTATTTAACTGCTTTTCCTTTGTTTCTGCATTCCCTCACTTGCCTTAGTAACTGCCTATGCGTGCTCTTTGGAACTCAGGGAAGGCCTCTGAGACTAAAATCTTTTCTACAAAAAAGAAGTGGGGACACAGAGGGGTTTTTGTACGTGGGAGGGCTCCACAGGACCCTGCTAAGTTTCACGTCATATAAACATCATCTTACAATGTGTTACTTTTTAAGACTGGTTTCTTTCACTCAGCATAAGGCCTTTTGGGTGGATGTCTCAATAGTTTGCTCCTCCTGATTGATGGACAGTATTCCTTTGTGTGGATTTACCACAGTTTGTCTAGGTACCCACTGAGAAACAGATGAGGTGTTTCTCGTTCTTGGCAATTATAAATAGAGCTGCTATAAACATTCGTGTGCAGGTTTCTGTGTAAATGTATCTTTATTTCTCTAGAGAAAATACCAGAAGTGGGCGAAGGCATACTCAGTTTTCTCTCAAGATATGAATTCCCAGAATGCAGGGGACAGTTGGCTTAGTTGATAGTCTTTGAAAGGATCTTATACTGCAGTATCTATAAACTCAGTAAATGTTTCACAGTGATTCTACTGGAGGCCAATGAAGGAGAAATGAGCTTACTATGAACAGCAAAGTTACTCTATTTGTTACGTTTTTGTGGATGAAAGGATCCTCCTGTCGGGCCTCAATGTAGTTCCCGTATTTCTTAAAACTTCTTTACAGCTAAAGAACACAGTGCCCCTTGGTGGCAAATATTGTTTAACTTAATGTATCATGTGGTCCAGGGGCAGCATCAGTTAATTCAACATCACTTAGGACAATGGTGGGCTTAGAGGAAACAGGGTACACGGCTATGTTGGGGGAAATCAACCTTTTTTTTAAAGTCACTTTAAAAAAAAAACACTTTTGAGTATAACAAATATTAATAGGATATTTTATAGCCATATTTTGCTGAATCCCTCAGAATTTTATTCAGTTACCTACAGAAGAAAAGGCTTCATAAAAAGAGCTGTGGGTTATATCAATGAGAAGTAAAACCTGATTTTTTTTCCCCTCAAAAAAGGGCTATTAGACATAAGATACAAGGATCAGTCACCTACTCATTAACCTCTCAAAATGAATCTATTTCACGACAGGCTTGGAAATGTTTTCTCTCTAAAAGCTACCACGCAGTCTCAACAGTTAATTGTTATTCTTATCAAAGAATGACCCGTATTAACATTTAGCTTGAGGTCATTAGCATATTTATAAAAAAAGAGTGGAAAGAGCATTCTTGTCTCTGCTGCTCTTTGTTGGCGAGGGGGTGGGGGGTGTCTATGGAGGAAAGTTGTGAGAGAAAATGAAGTAAGTATTATTAACCAAAATGAAGCACATATCATTCACCAATATTTCAGACTTATCTATAAATATCAAAATGCCTATACCTGTCTCAGCCTTGAACTGGCAGCCTGCTGACTGAATTTGAACTACACTGAAATACAAGGCAGCCTGGGGCCACTGTGCTCTCTTTTTTGACGTAAATAGTATTAAACTGGTTAACACAGATCACTGGCACGGAGAGGGGTCACGATATAATCTCTTCATTTAGGTACATTGAGATGAATGATGAGAGCAAAACACTCTCTTTGATTATCCCGTAAGATTGCATTTTTTCCCCCTTGACACCAAGGTAGACATTCCAATCCTCTGAAAAATGAGCCACTTAAAAGGCATCCAAATGCTGAACAGTTTGGTAGCTATTAAAACACTTGAGGGCGGAGTGGGCATGTGTCAATATACAGATTAGAGCAGTTTTAAAAACTCCTGTTTTAAAAATCACTTATTAAAAAGTTTTCTATAATATCAATAAATGACCTTTGGGCTCCCATGGCTCATTTCATTTTTGGAAGAAAAAGTTGAGTTTTATTTGGAAATAGAACAAAAGTAGATTGTGTTCCTAGTTCAAAATCTGACACTTTGTGTTAGGATTGAGAAGAGTGACAGGCAAGTCTCCTAGGTGTTCACAGCCCTGGTAGATGCCACCGAGTGTTTTCTATCCATTTTAAGGCACAGAGGGTGTTTTTCAGAGTTGAAACAGTTAACTGCAAATCCTAACTTATCAAAAATTTTAATGTGACTTGGAAATGAAAATGCAATTATTTAGTTCTATGCTAGACTTAGAGAAGAGCCTAACATGACCATTGGTCTGCAAAATGGGAGGATGGGACAACAGAAAATTTCCACCTCACCTGTATAATCATAATTTCCAAGGCAATTTTTTGTAAGGGAAGGAAGATGTGAAATACAATTGAAAACTTCCAAAGTATAAATTATTTTGAGAGAATAAAGCATTTGATTGATTCATTGCCTAACACTATGATTTGTAGTATAAAGAAGTTAAGGCTTTTCTACAAAATTCTTATTTCCATCACCATTGTGTTTCTTACTTGGAAAATCTAGTTGATTAAGAGTTACTCCATTATGAAAGAATTTTTGCGTGACAATCAGAAATAACACTACTTGTACAAAGGCAGATTTTTCTATTAATTTTAAGGAAAAGTTAGGAAGAATAGAGGATCTCCGTAGTTGATCTGGAAAATGGCTTATTCAGTCAGTTGATAAGACAGATGGAAAAGAAGGGTGAAAAGGGAAAAACTCCTGATTGCTACTCTTTGCTGCGTCCCCCCTTCTCCAGCCAGACTTAGAGCAATTAGGGGACACTGACAGTGGACTAGCCTCAGATAAATGGAATTTGTGGTTACAATCCATCTAGGAACAACACATGCATCATTCAGAACGTAAATGGAAAAAATGAAGAGCAGCTTCATGGAGTGAAACGTGAAGAAATTCAGAGTTTATGGTGAAATATTCAGCCATGTGAATAAAATAAAGTCTCAAAAAAGGGAGTTATCTAGCTATCCAGATATGTTTCTTTATGTAGCACACGTGTCTCTTGTATTCTCTCTCTACTTTGTACCTAGCCTTGCTTATATTTCAACAACACTGAAAAAAGAAATGCTACCTAAAGCTGGCCACTGGCCACGTGTTAGTGGCTCAAGTTTTGGCGGGGAGGTGCTTAAAACAGTCCTCTGACATAAGTCACACGTTTGCTTCTTCTGGTTCCCGGGATCGCTGAGCACACGCGGACATGAGCCTCACCTGGCAGAATCCTGACGTAATACCCCGAGCAGCACCGATGGCTGGGCTGTGCCTCCCTTATGCGGCCACCGCAACACACTCCCGTTGAATTCAAAAGAAATGCAACGTACTTCTCTTCACAACAGCGGTGTCCGGGCTGGGGGTCGTAGAGAGCGCCGTTACAGCAAACCTGAAAGTTGGGAACCAGATGTAAAGAAATACCAGTTTGGTTAAGAGTAATACACCACCATGCCTTACGTGATACAGTTGTTATCTAATAAGGCCTTGATCCGAGACCAAGCATAGCAGATTTCTGATAAAAATTCAATGGTTTAAAACCAGTGCATTTTCTCAGCATCATTCAAATACTATACATGCCATTTGATACAATGTAGATTTTTTTAGCCTTCCGCCATGCTTTGCGCGCTATTAGCTTTGCGCGCTATTATAATATTCTATAAATATGAATTATCTTTTGAATGCCAGCACTTCCAATGTAAAGATGATTTAGGATTGTAAATGAACAATTGCCTTCACATGTATGTTTTCATTTTAATGACTGCTTAATTTAAAAACACCACATCTATGGAAACCTGTCTTTCATTGATTTTTCTAATACATTGCATTTTCCTTACACTAATTTATATGATTGCTTATTTATGAACTCAATCTTTAGACAAGGCAATTGCAACACAGTCCAACATTTATATATATAAACATATATATTACATATATAAAGGAAATGTATATGAAATTAATTTTGAAAAGGCCTTTAACAATGTGTCTTCTCCAGGAGCTATGGAAGAAATTATGTGCTTGAACAATCAAGTCATTATTTTGCACACTCACTTGCCGTCTGAGAGACTGACACTCTGTATCTGTAACAAATGAAACACTGAGTAGTTGCTGAAATGTAGCCTCAGAACCTACACTTGGCATAAGTCGCATTAATCAGGATGCCTCCTATAGCAGGCAAAGTCAACCACTATTTAAGAGGGGTTTCTCTTTCCCTTTTGCTCACTGCTACTTCCAGCCTACGCCAGCGTTTGAATCACACTCAGTAGAAGGGCAGTGGAATGCAATCTCTAAGTCTGAAGACTAGCTTAACATTTCATTCATTTCTCAAAAGTTACCAAAGAGCAAAGAAACTGGGCAGAGGTCTACTTCTGTGGTTCCACGGGAAGCCCCGTTTAAACCAACTATAACACATTTCCTTTGTGGTGTTGAGTTATTAGCAATGAGGATTCAAAATTAGCCTAATTCCAAGGATATGTTATGTGACTCCTTTCTTTGATGGCATACTCTGTGTGAGAAGTACATTTTCAAATTAAGCCCCACTTTAAAGAGTTATGCAAAAACTCTTCTCTTTGTGTTTATTTGGGATTTAGAAATGCTGGTCATTTTGGCTTTCAGGGTAAAACTGTACACACCTCCCTTTTGTTTTATGACAAATTACCTAAAATCCTGCCTTCCGTTATATGATTTTAAAGCATTTACTAAACTCCCATTCGCATGTGGTGTGTTTCTGGACACTGAAGCGTAGCCAGGCTTTTCCTTCAGCAACAATCTCTAGGGCTTCTCATTCTCTTTCGAAATTTTCACTCAAGTATTTATTCAGCGAAAGGCCATCAGGACTGGTTCCCTTCCACGCTTTCACCGTCAGTGCCATTTTCAGTCTCCTTCACTCACGTGAAACTCGTACCTTTCTTCTAACCCACCCTGGTTTAGATCATTGATGGGTCCCCAGAGGGGACATTTCCAAGCAATTATTTCTCTTGAGACATCTTCCTCTAAACAGAGTATTTCTTAATCTTCGAAAGCAGTCTTCAAGTTAGCTGTCTCAGAAAACATACGTGGAGATGTCAGTAACTTGAGCACACTTAGCAAGTGTGTAGCTGATATTCAAATAGGCAGGCTGCTCCTTGCTCTATGGTTTCCAAAAGTAATTCCATAATCGAGTGGTTCTCAAAGCGTGGTCCCCGGACCGGATGCAGAGACATCACGTGGGAATGTGATTCTAATGCTCTACCCCAGACTGTAATCTATGTGAGGCTGACTGGTGTTTGAGAACCATGGCGGTAATCAGTCACATGGGGGAGGCTGGTACAGGTTTTGCAGGTACTCCTGATGTTCACAGGAATTTAGCCAGAGGCTCTTGCACTCATAGTAAGTCTATTTTCTACCTCTCTCCAAACACTCACCCAGGAAATTTATATTTACAGTTAACCCCAAACAGAAATTTAGAAACAATTTTTTTCTCTTTGGATTTTAATTGACTTCCTTTATTCTCTTTCACTGACAATATGTGTGTATCCTTAATGCCTGATTTTGTTTAATGCATCAGTTCTCTTTCTCTTGGAGAACATTTTCAATGGGCAAATTTAGTTTTGCATTTTTCTTCTCCGAAATCTTAAATTTAATTTCATTTTATGAAACTATGTTCACTGGATGGCACATATTTAATGGCTTAAAATGATATACAACTTAGGCATAATAACAACTATAGAGCCCAAGTGTCAAAAAAAAAGAACAGTTAGTAACTGTCAGTTTTATGACATTTCTTAGATAAGAACTACTGCTCAGTGTCAGCCACGATAATTTGTATTTTGAGCCATACTGCTTCAACAACTCACCTTCTTAATTACTGTGCCTTTTCGTCGTGAATCTTTTGAATTTAGTAGTGGCTTTAATCATTAAGTGTGTGATGTTGTTGACAAATAGGAACATTATTTCATTATATGAAATCCTATCTCTAAACTAAGGGTTTTCTGCATCGTTTGTCAATAAAAACCATTTACAAACTCCTCTGTCTGGCTGTATTATTGATCTGATCCTTAAACTGCAACTAATATGAACATTAATCTGCAAATGGCCATAATTTAAAAATACTTTTGACAAACCATGAAAGGTGCTGCTCACAGTTACTCATCAGCGTCACGTAAACAAACACCCACTTGTAGCTGAATGGGTTTTGTTGTAAAGAAAATTGAAGTCGCTCAATCAAACACAAATCCGAGAGGTTCTTTATCACTTCAATGAACTAATTTCACATGCGAAGATGATGAAAAATGAGAAGGCTAGAACACTCACGAGGAAGACAGGATTTGTACAAGCATTTCTTTTTCACGGGGTCTTCTTGATAGATTCGTGGAGATATGGATCCTAATAAACCACGTTTTAAGAAGCAAGTGATTTCACCCAGGGTGTTGAGTGTGAAAAACGTATTTCACTGAAGAGTTTGAAAAGCTCTACCTTAGCCTCAGGGGAGTAGCACCTGTGTCCACAGATAGTTTCGGGCTTTTGACATTTCACTGCCTTGCAGAGCTCAGCACCGTGGTCCTTCATTAACTTCTGGGCTTTAGGGCACAAATGCCAGGTTTTCCGTAAGAGATCATATCCGAGAATGATGCCATTTGGCTTCCCTGGAGACATCCAATCAATTTGAAGGGATCTGCAATGGACAGAATAATCAATACCCCTGAAAAGACAACACTGAACATGGCTGCTATCAGCCTCATCTACTTCTCAATTAGTCTTCCAGTTTGGTCAAAAGGTCTATTTCACCAACAACTTTCTAATTAAGAAGCTGGCACAGAATAATATATAAAAACTGATACATATATGTATAAAATATATACGCTACTACCATATATGTTTTGAGAATCAATCAAATCCACTTAAGCTTGAAACTAACACAACATTGTAAATCAATTATACTTTAACAAAAAAGAAAGAAAAAACACTTAAGCTTTTGGGAGAATAACATATGAGTCCAGTGGTCTTCCACTTTAAATTTCAGAGGCAAGAAGAAACTCTTATTCTTAATTAAGAGAAAGGAAGAGAATTCAGAGAAATGGCTAATCAAGAGAATAAAGAGAAAATTTTGGCTTAAAAAGTAAAAAATGAGACACAAATAATTTGACTTAGTAAAGAGGGTGGAAATTAGAATCTGTGGCAGACTTAATCCCTGCTTAAAATCACCTTCTCCGTTGCCTTCCTTCCCTCAGCTAGGACTAGTGCTTTGACCCAGAGACACTCTACGAGACGCAACTGGAAGATGGTGGGATGCTGATGAAGGTTCCTAGGAAATTTTAGCTTTCCTGATGTGGCAGTCACCTTTTCCTTTTTCTTTTTTTCTGTTAAATATGATACCTGGAACTTCAGCAATCATCTCAATCATCTTGTAACCATTTGAGAAAGACCATAAGAATCACAAAGATGCCTCAGTGGTATCTGGTATAACTGAGTCAATGCCAAAAGCAGTCTACCTCTAGAACTATTTACTTCAGACTCAGTTGTTGGGTGTTTTGTTACTTATAGCCAAAATCAGTGCTCAAATTGATAAAGTATTTTTATCAGTTCATAAGTTGCTAATTTAAAAAATTATCAATAAATTTGTTTACACATAACATTTATAATCCAAATATAATTCATCTTAATTTTTGACTCACACTGACAGATTTAGTTCCACCATAGTTCTTTATATACCATGACCAGATATGTTTTGTGGTCAGAAATGTAAGAATTGGAGATTCCTGTAACAAAATACTTTTTATATTATTACGTTCTCAAAGATGTTCGATTTTTAAAGATTGAGCCACGGTTTATTCTGAACATGTAAGTGTACAGTTTTGGGTGGTTTGGTATACAACGGGGGCATAACATCTGACCAAAACTTGACTGCATTTTCAATGATTTATTAATATTTCATTTGTTGTACTGAATGAGATCATAACACAAAGCTGTTCACAAAGGATTCAACCCTGAATAGACTTCATTTACTCTCATGTAAATGTTCTAGAACTTTAATTCCACACTTACTTGCCAGAATGACACAGCCTGGATGACATAGTCGTACCATCTTTAGTCTTTTTTTAAGGAAAATCTATAATAGGACAGTAAAGTTTTTAATAAAGCCTCAGAGATTTGGAAATGACATATTTTTGCAATATAGCATGGCAAAGAAAGCCTGTCACTTGCAAAACACAAGGTAATTGTAAAATAATTATTTTTGTTCTGATTGTTTTCAAAAAGGAGAGTGATCTCTGACATTCAAGATTAATTTATTTTTATAATTCTAGAATTTCCAACTACCACAACCATTCACAAACAGTTAGAGGTTACCTTTATACATGCAAAATACTCCAGTAAGTACTTTGGAGAATAGAAAGTATATGTGAGTTTAGTCCCTATACTTTGAGCATCTTAAAATAAAGTTAACACAATAACTCATGTTGACCATCTTTCTGCCATTGGGTAAAATCATATTTTTGTTACATCTTTCACTTTAAGGAGAAGTATGTCTGTACAGGCCAAATTGCTGGGCTTTGTCAGAATTCTAAGTGACATCACATATTAGGAATTCAATTAGGCCCAAACATTTACATTAAAAAGCAGCAGTCAAGATAAGCCTTGACTTTCTAATAGACTGCTAAAAAAGAAAAAAAGAAAATTATTTCATTTTCTTGAAGTTACAAACATAACACGTTCACTAATAAGACTCTGTAGATAAGAACTTAATGTCACCTATGAGAAAACAGTTTCACAGGTGACTTGTATAGTCACCATTTTTATTCGAAGGTCTTTATCCTGCTTTCAAAATTAATTCCACATCTTACAGATCCCTCTTTTGTATTCATTGCATAATCAACTACAGAAAGGACTCCACTTAAGTGACATTCAATGGCCTGAACTAGTAAAGCCTAGAAAATACCACGCAGAGCACCATGCCACTGTAACTTCTCTTTCTTGCACAGCGTATCTGTGAAGGGAGCCCACCTACAGTTTTAGCAACAGCATGAACAGCTTTGATTTCGAGGGTCTGAGACAGGTCCACTGATGCCAATGACCAAAGAAGAACACTGGGTTTAACACCTGCCCATCTCTCATTAGAATCAATGAGAGCGACCCTGAAAAATCTTGGCTGCTGATTTGAAATGAAGGACATCTCTGAGAACTGTGCACCATTATTTACTGGACTAATGGTTTCACTGCATTGCTGTTTAAGAGTAAAGTAGAAGGAATACTCTTAAACCACAGGAATTAATGTTAAATATTAGGGAAACAAGGTGCTTTTTTCTTAATCCATCAGTAAAGGTATGCTCACGGGGAAACATAAACAGACCATGAATCCTCAAATGGATTTTTGTTTTTTGTAGATTGGTTCATAAAGTAACGATTAGTTTATTTAGCTCCCAGAAAACCAGGGACTGAAATTTAAGCTATGTTAATAAAGTTTCTGATTTTCACACACATTTTAGCACACGGATTCATTGCATGCTTGGACACTTAAGTTGGAGCTATTTCTTTTAAATCATGTCATATTGTTACTAGATTCACTATTCTACTTCTGTCACTAATGTGGCCACCACCACCACAGTATTATTACTTTCAGTTCAAGTACAAAATAACACTGAAGATAGAAATCATTATGGGAAAACAATTTCTTCACCACTTACCTTTATACTGGTAAATATTAAAATAACACAGCTCAGAAAAATTTTTCTGAAGAGGCAGGGCTCCCACTGGAACTCTTTAACATTTTATCCTTACATTTTATCACGACTTTTGTGAAAATGTTCTTGCTTGGACAGAGGGGAAAAAAATCTTCATATACTTTAAGATATTCATAGAAATTGTTCTGAAGAGTTCCAGCTTCCCTGATCATGTTTGCATGGGCCTTTTTTTTCCTTTATTCCTATTCAACTTGGTCATTTTGGTCAATCATTTTTATTACACTTGAGTTCTTCAATAGTACTCCATACTACAGTTATCAAAAGTGCTCAGGATGCTTTTAATATGAGACTAAATAAATATAATATGATGACAATATTAACTCTCTGCTCTCAAATCAAATCGCGGAGTGTCTAATTATCTACTAGAATGTTTAGCGTAAATTGTAGTAAGTAAAATGTCAAAGACAAAACTCTGTGTCCTTGAGTATTAGGCGATAAAAAATACGCACACCTGAGGCATGTCATATGTTATGCAGCAACGTAAAATCAAGTGTTTAGATGGGCAGTTCAGGCTACAAGGATTACAAAAACACACAGATAAGGATCACTGTGTCTAGACTAACAACGGAAGTTTCATGGGAGAAGTGGATGTGGACTTGAATTGGGAGTGAGAAAATGGGAAGAACTCTGAGCAGGAAGATCAACAGAGGCAAACACAAGAGCTGGGAATCGGCCCAGGCATATACAGAAGAGTAACGTGACCAACCTGATGAGCGAATGATTTACATCCGGCAAGAACGGAAGGTCAATCTGAATTTAAGAAAAAAAGTTCATGTAGTCTCCGAAATACTGTGTTGAGGAATTTGAGGGAGAAGCAAGGTGATTTTGCGGTGGTATCGCCAGCAGAATAACAAACCTTTTTAGAAGGAACAACCTGGCGGATTAGAGTGAAAGAGACTAGGAGTGAGGGAGAAGTATCAGCGAGGTACATTAGTAACTTAAATGTGAAAGAATGTTCAACAGTTTTTCTCTTGTTTAGGAACTTCAGCTGTAGCCCCAAACTGAGGGTGACAGATGACGCGTTCCTGCCTTTAACACTGGTAAGTATCTTGCTTCTAAAAGGAACAGCAAGATTCTGCTGAGGATAAAACTGCCCTTTAACACTGGCCCAACATCCAAACCAACCCCAACTAAACAGAACTCTAGAGCAGTTTTAAAAGTAGGAATGTTAATCAATACTTATTAAGTACCCCCTATATGTCAGGTGTTGTTCCATGAGTGAACAAAACAAAGTCTCTTCTTTCATAAAACTTACATTTTATCAGGGGAAGAGGGACAGTAAACAAACACAAAAGTATGTAACCTGTCAAACTAGTGATCTGAGAAGGCCTGGTTCTTCTCTCAGAAATCTCAAAGCAGGGATGAAGCAAGTGAATGGGAGTTTCTAGGCAGAGGGAGCAGGCGGTATAGACGCTCTGAGGCATCCATGATCTTGGCTTGTTGAAGGGCAGTCAAAGAACCCAGTAGGGCAGAACTGGACTGAGCAAGAAAATGGTGGAAAATGAATTAGGTGGGTGCTGGGAGCATCGGATGGGCGATTGCAGCTCATGTAGGATTTTGTGGAACATAGAAGTAACTTACGATTCATTTCTGAGTGCACTGGAAAACCGTCGGAGATTTCTGAGTCACAGAATGAAAAAGGAGTTATTTACTTAGTGAAGAGTGACACTAAACCCACCCCCAGCCCGCCCCTAAAGGTACTCTAGGCTGAGGAAGGCATTCTAAATACATCACTCGGAGAAACTGGAGGCACTCACTTCTCTGGCTGGTACTTAACTAAGATGCAGAAGCATCAAAGCCCAACCTGCTGCTGTCCCTGGAGGGAAGTATAGCAAGGAGTTTGGGAACAGCTCGGCACGGGAGTTGGCAGCCTATACGGCCACAGAAGAGGTGTTTGCTTCTCAGAGAATTCTAATGGCCAGACAGTGTCCAGAGC